CTTGCGCTTGCAAATTTTCGATCAAAACACTGCGATGACCTCTTGTGGCCTTCAAGCGCTGATGAGCGTCAAAACAATCCTCGCAAAGAAAGTTCTGGCAAACAAAGCAATAGCAAGTTGCCGTGTTGTTTTCTTCACAACTGCTGCATCTCTGAGCTTCTTTGCGGCCATCTCTCAAAGCGAGGAGATCCACCAATCGGTTGAGATAAAAAGATGTGGGAAGGCTGCCAAACGTGCCTCGCTCAGGGATTTGAAAGCTAGCTTGACAACCTGGGCATTTGATCGTTGTTTCTAACTTTCTTTTTGCATATCCTGCGTGTTTGTCGATACACTGCAGACAGAATGAGTGCAGACATGGTAGTGTCTTGGGATCTTTGACTGTTTCTAGACACAATGGACACTCGGCTTTCTTCTTAAGATTTGTTAACAGCTGTTGAACATCCATATCTTGCTGAATAAGCTGAGAGCTGGGTGCGGTTGACACGTCGCATCGCTAATCATACATAAAACGAGACTTGGGGAGGGCATCAGTCACCTGATGAGCCCTCACCCTCTTCACCCTACTTTGATTTATAAGTGTAGACTTTGAATTGTTTCGATGTGTTTTTTTTTTTGTTCCTAGGGGCAAAGTTTTTTGTGTGTTTTTTTTTTGTTTTTTTGTTAGTTTTCCTTTTTGAAGAACAGTTAGACGGGAGAAATAGAGCCTATGGAAATATCTTTTAATAGTAAAAATATTAATAGTAAAAGCTACTGGAAGAGACCCGACCCAACTGTTCATAGCTTCAATCCCTGCCTAGTCACACGTCTGTAGATGACAAAGCCTGACCACACTCGTACAGGACAATTTCGCACATATAACCAACGTTTCCATGCTAATAGGGTTTTGTTATTTTAGTCATGAAGATAAAGGGAACAAGTGAGTTGAATTTCCACGCAAGAAAATTCAGTGAGCGTTGCAAACGTTTTCGAGTGGCATTACCTAACCTTGGTAACCTCTTGTGTTATCTCGATAATTAGGATGGCGCTTCAATTTGGTGGTTCGTACCGCTAAACTGGGAAATATCACTCCTTCTTCTCATCACCTTTGTGCTTGAAAATTTCTGGATGCTGTAAAGAGAGTTCTCGTTTTATCAGTCTTGAGAGTGAAAAGGGTTAGAATCTCCTCTGCCTGTTTCACTTTTTGAGAAGAGTGACCCACTGATTTGTTTGTAATGTTGCCTACAGAACCTCTCTACTTTATCTGGTTTTGCCTTCTTTCAATAAATGTGTCACTTATAGCTGCTAAAAGCTCTCGCAAGTTTTACATTACCTGTGGTGCTGCATCGGTGGGAGGATATAACAGGGTAATTTAGTATTATTAACTGAGTTGATGACGTAAAAAGTTTTAAAGTTCTTTAGCACAATTCCATGCGAAATATAGGTAAAATGCAACGGAGCTGCAAAGAAAACTAAATTGAGTTCAGCAGGGTAATTTAGTATTGCCATTTGAGTTGATAACGTAAATTGGCCACCGTAAATAGTTTTAAAGCTGAAGAGCTTTCTTTGCAGCTCCGATGCATTTTACCTATATTTTAGCGGGGAATTGTGCACGATGTGATACTATTCAAATAGTTTCCTCCAGTCAGATGATTTTTTTGGATTTATTTTTTCAACAGTATTTGAAAATTTAAAGTGTTTAAGACATTTTGCAGCAGTTTCTTGAATGCAACTTGATAAGGTGACAAGTGAGAAAAACAGTAAAAGCCCACACGGTGCAACATCTAGCTTCCGACTCGTGAACTTTTTGGCGGAAAAAGAGACGCATAAAAATACTGCTTTCCGCGTCTTTTTTTGAATCAACTGGCCATGTGAGATAAGTTTAGGCGGGTTTTCACAGGGCTTTCCCGCATTTTAGCTTCTCTTTACTTGACGGTGAGATATATATGGTTTATTTGGTTTCTCTCCCTGCCTTAAGATCCACAAGCGAATAATCCCCGACAGAAAAGAGTCTCTGAAGTAAGATCGAACATACAATAACAGTCAACTCCCTAGAACGGTCCTTCATTTATTTACCCGACATTTCCTTGGTCGAGGGAGACAGCAGCTAAATGGCTTACTTGCTCAACTCCGGAACTAAAAAGTCATATTCTGTTTCAAACCTTGATCGGGTTATTATGCTGTGATCTTGGGCAAGAAGCATTGTATAAAAGTGCCACTCCCCAGCCCACTGTGGTGCAAACTGAACGAATGGTGAGTAAGGGTGAAGGGAGATATATATTTTCATGCCGTAAATTGGAGTAAGGACTATACACCGCGTAACGTAATGCTAAGTTCCGAAAGCTAAGTGAGTCTCGGAAAACTTTTCGGGGGGAGGGAACAATATGCAAAATGGGAAGAGTTGGTTACGATAGCTGCTATACAAAGCCTGTGTACCCGCTCGATTGACGTTTGCTGGTCTTTTAATCTGTACAGAAAGAGAACCTAACGTAAAAAGTCTTGTTTACAGAGATTACATGAATTTTGAAAAAAAAGTTATTGCTATTGGTTTAACAACGCGAAGAAATCCATTCCATGACAGTAGTATAGGAGATGGCTGTACCGGATCACTTTGAACAAGTGATATCGTTCAAACCCAACTCTCTTTACAACTTTCCATTTTATGGAAATAAAAGCTGGATATGAAAGATGGAAATAATTTTATGGATGTAAAAGATGGAAACAATTCTATGGCATCATATCATATTAAAGCGTTGGAATACTGTAGGAGACCACCGATATGATCCAGAAAAATATTTACATTGTGTGACATTCTCAGAAAAATAGGAAATCAATGATGTAATTCAAAAGGGACTTTTCCCGTGGAAATGAGTCATAACAGTGCTGTTGATTTTTAATCTAAAAAAGCTCATTAAATACATTCAGACCGCGATAGCTGTGTCGCTACGTCATAATATCTTCTCCATTTGATGAATACTGAAATGTTAATAAAGTAAAGAAACATTTATATATAAATTTTACTCGCTTACCATTGCGTGACATTCTCAGAAAAACAGGAAATCAATGATGCAATAGGGAATTTTCCCGGGGAAATGATTCAGAGCATTTTATTTCCAACGACAATTGAAATAGTGGTTTCCTATGCGTCGGAATATAACTTTCAATTTAGAGGTGGGTAGTAATGCCTTGGACGAATGAAATAGACAGTACCTGTGACACTTGTATGTAGACCACCATGGCGTGACTTTATAGATGTCCTATTTCAGTTTTGGATTTTGTAATGACCATAAGCACAAGATGTTGTACCATATTCAAGGATGTATCTCTTATCATCAAAGCAGCTGAGTGATACTTTATTCAGCTTATATCTTCCAAGTTGATGATCACTGCTTCGAATAGTTTTCCTTTTGTGAAATATTTGTTTCTTGTTGAATAATAACGTTTTGTGATTTTCATGCTTGATATCTTTTTTCATAACATTTTTCTTTATTCCTTTCGCTGTTTTACCACCTTTTTCATTATCTCTCATATAAGAGTACATTTTTGATCGCAATCCAATGAATTCAACAACTGGCATTCCAGAAGCTTCATCTTCGCATTCACCTAATACTTTTTTGTCTGTTTTATCAAAATATGGAGAGTGTTCATTGTAATCACAATTATCAAATTTGTTTTCATCATTCCAAAAGTCTTGATACACGTCTTCGGTTTCAATTTCATAGGTCAGACTGTCAGTGTCATCTTCAAGAATTAATTCTTTTCTACTGTCTTCAGTGTTTTCAGATAGATTAAGTTTATCAATTGCCTCTTCAGTCATCCACCTAAAACCACCAATAGGAAGATACTGACTCATAGCCCAACTATAGAGGTTGTTAGCGTCAAGATACATAATATACTTTGATGGTGCCTTCTGACCATAGTTTTTCATGAACTCATTGTTTGCTTTTCCGTCTCGATTGACTTTATATGAGATACCATCCCTCTTCAATAAATTGAAACATATTTTAACATGGCAACCCAGCTAGGAGATGTAAAATAATGGCATGGGTCAAGTTTATAATATTGCAGACCAGTCCTTCTAAAATATATCAGTTAACAAAGGAAGTCAGATTTAAGATACAGATCATGGTATTGACCCATTGCCTTGTGGTTAAATGTCTGCCACACATTTTGAGCATGTTTGCATTGTTCATTAGATATGTGCTCATCTTGCTGAA